CCCACTTCCTGGGTCTGGGTCCCTCTCTGCCTCAGACATTAGCCCAGGACCAGGCTACCCACAGCGGGAAAACAGGTAACTTAGCCTGCACACGATGAGTCTCTGTATGTGTCTCCTGTCTTCTGTAACCCTTGGCCAGCCTTTATCACCATGTCATCGGCTCTGCAGACTGGACCCTCATGTGGGCTCTGGACGCCAACAGTTCCTCCATAAGAGGCCAAAAGCCCAACTGCCCGATCCAAGGGCCGAGCCACACTGCTCACAGATAGGGGTCAAGCTTCAGACCAAACCTTCATTCCCACCCAAAACCCAAGGATTCGAACCCTCAGCACCAAGTCCTCTTGGCCCTGTGAGTCTTCTCACTGGCTGCGCCCACCCTGTAGAGAGGATCTTGTCTCTTTCATTTTTTACATAAATCTTTGATCCTGCTGCTCCTCTGCGGGGTGGGGGTCCTGCTCCACGGTGTGTTTAGGGTATTAAGATACCGGACAAGCTGATCAGGTAATAAAACCACGGAGTGGCCTTCTGTCCCTCCCTCTCAGTGCATCAGCAGAAAGCAAAGAGACACCCACGACCCTTCACCTCCCATCCATTGTGATGCCCTGGGCCAGAGCGGAAGGGACTCACTGCAGCATCTCAGGACCGCGTTCCTATGCTGGTTGTGTAGAAACTACTGAAGACGCTGCTGTGTCTGTCCTTACGGGTCTCCTTGGTGAGCAAATCTTGGTTCCATCTGACCCCGGAAGGGAGTATGCTGACCAGGGGATACGGGGGCCCCGCTCAGAGCACACACCTCTTTCCATTTCTGGTTCAAAGGAGCCCCTGCCTCTTGTCTTTAGTGCTTTTATGTCTGAGCACTCACTTTTCTGGGAACTGGGAGCCTCTAACTGCTGAAAAGGAAAAAGAAAACAACAAAAACAGGAAACAAAACAAAAATAAGCTATGTTTCAGGGGGCAAAGGGCTGGGGGAAGTGGGAAGGAAATGCAAAGCCTCTGGCTGAACTTACGAAGTTTGCTCACTGGGCACAGAGAAGGAATTTGCAGGACACATCAGTAAGAGACGTAAATGGGTTTATTAGGCAGATTTTTTTTTTTTTTTTGTATTAGGGATCAAACATAGGACCTTGCACTTGCCAGGCAGGCGCAGGGCCACTGAGCTACATCCCCAGCCCTAGGCAGAAATGGAAAATAAGGCACTCAAAGAAATGGGGGTCAGGGGAAGGGGGAAGAGAGAGAGCGACAGAGATAGATGAGAGGCAGACAGACATTATTTCCTGGAACTGGAAACATGTATGCTTCCCTCAGCGGGTAGAAACCCCAGGGAAAGGAGGCTCATGCCCCAGAAGGGAACATACTCCATTTTAAAGGTATGAACTGGGTGTTTTGTTTTGTTGAGGCAGGGTCTCGCTATGTAATCCAGGCTAGGCTTGAACTCACTATCTAGCCCAGGCTGGTCTCAAACTTGCAGTGATCCTCCTGCCTCAGCCTCCCAAGTGCTGGGACTACAGGTTTGCACCACCTCAACTAGCTCCTCCCCTTTTTTAAAAAAGGATAATTTAAGTATTCGTTGAATTCTCTCAGCCTGTTCCTTTATTTTAGAATCAGTTTCCTGCACTTAACTTTCTCAATTAAGCCAATTTATAGGCTTAAATATTCCTGAGGGATTTCAGCTGTGATAAGTCTGGAGGGAAAGAACTTAGATGAGCCAAGAGAACACCTGTGGTAATTTTGAATGTGTCCCAGAAGTTGTTATCTTTTCAAAAGTACAATTTTTTAAGTTATGTTTTTCCTTGTCTCCTTTCTATCTATCTTTAGTCCTTCTGTCTTACCTCAGGGGCACCTTGGAAATAGCCAGGTAAGATTCTGGTGTTTCTACTTTATGTCTTTTTAGGTTTTAGAATCATTAGATAAACCCACATAACAGTCATGAGCATTAAGGGCAGCGCAGGGCGCCAGTGTCTCATTGGGAACCTGAGGTCGTAGGTCCTCACTAACCAGCTAGGTGTCCTCATGTCACCTTAGAGGGGCCTGCCAGAGCGTCACCCGAGTCTCCCACTCCCTAGTACCTAGTGTCTGGTCCAACTTGGCTCACCTGCCGTGAGACGCAGCCACCAGCACAGAGGAGGCTGAGACATATCCGGGCATCATCAATCCTTAGCTTTTCTTTTCAGTTCAAGAGCCATCTCCTAGACCAGCTGTAATGCTTGGTTTTAGGCGTCCACTTGGCTGAGCTGTAGCTGCCAGTGAAAAGACCAACACTAATCTAGGTATTTTTCTGAAGGAATGGTGGGAGGCCATGCAAGTTTTTCCACAGGAGAGTTTAAATCTGGTGCAAGCCCAGCTGAGTTTTAGATAGGATGATTGTTTCAGTAGCTACATGCATGAGGGAGACACTGATCTGGAAATTTTGAATGTGAAGGTTCCCTGTCCTTTATTCTTGGGGCCACTGTTAAGTCTCTCCTTCTCCTTCTTCTTCTTTTTTTTTCTGCGGGGCTCTGTTGCTGGTTTTTTGTTTTGTTTTGTTTTTTGTTTTTTGGGGGGACAGGGTCTCACTATGTAGTTGAGACTGACCTGGAACTTAGTAGGTAGCCCAGGCTGGTCTCGAACTCACAGTGATCCTCCTGCCTCAGCCTCCTGAGTGCTGGGATTACAGGGGTGCACTGTCACACCGGGCAGGAGTGAACTGCTTTCATTAAGCACAAAGCTGCCTTGGTGTTGAAGCTCAGTGTAGACTGATGTCCTCCTGAGGGACAGCTCTTCAACTGGATAGGAGCTAAGCACTTTTCCCACTAGCACTGGGTCCGTGGCCCGCTTGCTCTCCGAGATCCAAGCACACGTCTGATGCTGGGTGAGAATTTAGCTAAAGGGTGAAAATCATCACTCTGCCCCTGTCAAAACCACTCCCGGAGCCCTGCATAACAGGTGAATCACCTTAGGAATCATACTGTGGACCCAGTGGCCAATTCCTGCCGCAGCAGGAGTCTCTCTGACTCACCGGTTCCCGGCACACCCTTGGCGAGCGGTTCCTCATTTGTCAGGAGCTTTTACACATAATCCTGGTAAATACATCTTCCATTACCTATCACAAATTCCTCTAGCAACCAAGGAGTGTCCCGGAGGACACTGCACAACCACGGAGACTGCAGTGTGGGTGTGTTTTCCAGACCCGGCAGGAACTCTCAGGCGTTTTGTTTTATGAGAAATTCCAGGACCTCCTTTGAAAACTCAACACGACTTCAAAAGAGTTTCTCAGGGTCAACATCCTACCAAGTGGCGAGTGTTTCCAAGCCCTGGCTTCGGATGGTGGGTGGGAAACTCAGGCTCCCTCCCTCATTGCTGGATATCACCCTAGGGTCCCCGGCACAGACCCCAGGGCCAGCCAGGTCCTGGGGCGGGGGTGCTGGTTCCCACAGTGTAGGAAGCAGCGCCAGAAAACAGTGGAGATGCCCAATGTGCTTCCAAATCCCTCCAACAACTGCCAGCTTCTTGGCTTTGAACAAATTGACCCCGAGAACCTCAGAATCCTCCCATGTGAGATGGGAGGAATGGATCTCAGGTCTGACAGGAGGGTGAAAAAAGCTCCCACGTGCCCACGGGCTGGAGCCACGTGGAGCCAAAGGCAACAGCAGGGTCTGCCCTGCCAGTCTGGACTTCCCTGGCAAGCTGAATGTTTCTTCTTGATAATTAGGGCGACGGATACGGCCTCCTTTTGGGAGAAAGAATTTAGGTCTCCTTTGTGTAAGTGGCTTTGACTTCACATTTCTAAACTCTTGACCTCTGAGTCACATTGCCAAGATCAGCCTCATTGATCAGTAAAAGCAGCCAGGAGAATTTTGAATGGCATCACCTTCTCTGCTTCTAAATAGTTTTCTTTCCTTCCTTTCATCCTCCTCCTTTACCCTCTTCTACCACTTGTCCTCTTTGTCCTTCTCCTTGTTCTTGTTTTTTCCTCCTTCTCTTTCTTTGTTTTCCTTCTGCCTCTTTCCCCTTTTCTCCTGCTCCTTTTCCTTCTCTTTCCTCCTCCTCCTCCTCCTTTCTCTTCCTTTATCCCAGGTCTTGAACCCTGTACCCTTTCAGTGAACTACATTGCTAACCCTCACCACCTCTTTTTCTTTTTCAATACATTTTTGTGACCAGGGTCTTGCTAAGTCACTAAGTTGCCCAGGCTGGGACTGAATTTGGCCTCCTCCTGCTTCAGCCTCCTGAATGGTGAGATTACTGGTATACACCCCCATGCCTGGCTTCTGAACTCTACTTGGGCCACACCACACCACAAGATAAACAAGGAAGCGGGCAGGAGAGACAAATGCCGAGCTTGGTGTGAGGTCCCTTCCTGTGGTGAGGCCCAGGGCACTGTGTCACCGGAGCATCCAAGTGAGGGGCACCCAGGACCCTTTCGCTCGTGTCTGGACGGCAGGTGCAGGAGTGGAGTGTGGTGGTGTCTGTGTGCCCTGGGCACTGTGCAGCCTTGCGTGTATCTATTCCTGTTGGGCTCTCTGTGGGCCGTGGGCTCTGAGCCCAGACTCTGGTTCCCTTCCGAGCCTGGGACCTTGTCCCCCATGGCGCAGCACATGAGACACAGAACAGGTGCTTGAGTTCTGATTTTTTATTCCAGGTATATAAACAGGTACTGGAGATTGGACCCAGGGCCTGTGCACTGCGCTACATTCCCAGCCCTTTTTATTTCCAGTATGAGTCAGGGCCTCATTTAGTCACTAAGTTGCCCAGGCTGGGTTTGACCTTGTGATCCTCCTGCCTCAGCCTCCCTCAGTGTTGGGATGACAGGTGTGCCCCCAGCATGCCCAGCTCCTTTCTTCTTTTTATGGACCCCCCCCCGTAGAAAATAGAAACCACGCTGCAAGCATGTGGTATCATATTATTCTCACAAACTGTAGCTGACTTGATAGACAGCCGAGCAGAATTTGGCAAAGTTGAGGCCATCCAAGCCCTCATCCCCAGAATTCAGGTGCAAGTCCTAGGGCCCCAGAATGGGCTATTACCAATCAATCGTTCCTGCCAGGTCATAGTCCTCCATCTCCACGCAGGTGCACACTTGGGTTTTGGTAATGGGATCACTGGAAATTCGGTCCAGTTCCATGACTCAAAGACCTTGTAGCTCTAAGAGCAATGAATGGCCGAGCAGTGGGCGAGGTGGACCTTTGTGCCCGGCCCTCTCCCCAGCCTCGGCCGGTGGCAGGCTGCATCTCAGTGGCACGCCTTTCTCAGCCCGGTGGAGTTTTGCATTTTTCCTTCAGACCATACCTTTGGTCCTAATTTAGGGACAAAATAGTATATTTTGTACTTTGGAAATTAGTGTATTTGCCCCTACTGCCTTCAGCTGCCTCTTCCTTCCCTCCTCCCTTCTGAGGCCTCAGTCCCCGGCCTCACAGGGGCTCTGCTGCAGCAGGGACCTGGCCTACGGCCCCAGGGCCCGAGTCCTCCACCTTCCCATGGGGCCGCTGGGGCCAGTGAGTCCTGTGTCTTCTGTTCCTTCCTCTGTGCCCCAGGCCTGTCTGGACGCACAAGAAAAGTGAATCGGCCCTGCTTAGAAAGCATTAGGAAATGGGCAGGCCAGCCTGGCCTGGTGGCACGGGCATCACAGCACTCTGGAAGGCTATGGCAGGAGGACCGCAAGCTCCAAACCAGCTCGGGCAACTTGGCAACCTAGCAAGACCCTGTCTCAAAATAAAATAAAGGTCTGGTGTTGTAACTCAGTGTGTGTAGACCCTGGATTCCATCCCGGGTACCAAAACAAAACAAGAGGAACCTGTACTAGCAAGAGCTCTCTGTTAAGTCCTCCCTTCCTGGTGCAGTGCGGGAGGACTCTGTTCACCAGGGGATGGTCCCCTCACAAAAGAAATACTCATGCATAGCTAATAATTGTGTGTATGATCTGGTAATGGAAAGAGACACCCAAAGTCTCACATTGGAATTATCTTCCGTGATACGTATTTAAATTGCTTTTTGTCCGAGTACTTAGAAGGATGAGGCAAGAGGATCGCTGAGTTCAAGGCCAACATGGGCTACAGAGGGAGACACTGTCTCAAAAAATCAAAACAAGAGCCGGGTGTACTGTAATCCCAGCACTCAGGAGGCTGAGGCAGGAGGATCTCTGTGAGTTTGAGACCAGCCTGGGCTACACAGTGAGTTCCAGGTCAGTCTCAACTACATAGTGAGACCCTGTCTCAAAAAACAAAAAACAAACAAACAAAAACAAACAAACAAAAAATCAAAACAAAAATATTGCCTTTTGTTTGGGATCCCAGATTCCTGGTCATTATGTGGACTTGAAAGCCTGCATCCCGACGGGACAAAGCAGGAGGTGCATCCTGCTGAGGGGACCATTGCTGCCCACCTGTCTCCCTTCTCTCAGAGCAGCCAGGGCTGACCTGCCAGGGACCACTGCCCTGCGTCTGGTGGCCTTACCACTTCCTGTGTGGTCTACACTACTCTGTTCTCGGCCCTGGGTCCTCTGGTTCCTGCAATTGTACTCTAATACCTGGCAGGGGACTGGAGGGGACAGAGAAGCTGGCTGTGGGCACCAAGCTCCCTATGCAGTCCCCCCACTTTTAAAGATTGATTTCTTTGTCCAAGGTGAGGAAAGTGTGACTGAGCCCTTCCCTGGAGGAGTGCAATTCTACCCTGCTCCTGGCAACGGTCACACCCACTGCCTGGTGTCCACAGTTCATGGATCCCATTGTGATCATGTGACTGCAGTCCTTGTTTTGGGGTACGGGGCAGGGTGGGGTGGGGAATCAAACTCAGGACCTTACACTTTTGAGGCAGGCACGGTGCCACTGAGCTAAATCCCCAGCTGACTTCTGTCTTTCTAAACACCATTTTCATACCTCCACTGCATTCTAAAAAGTATATTTCTTTATAAATCACTCATTTCTCTCTAATAGGATCTTAGGGCTGGTTTTATTTATTTTGGTACATTTACAACTCTTTTGTTGCTTTTTGGGTAAACATAGGGAGCTATTGCACCAAAACTGGAACTTTTCTAAGATACCTGCCATTAGTTAAACCGCTTTAAAAATGTTTATATAACTTCAGAGGCACATGGCCTCTGGGGGGAGATGGCTTTTAACAATCAGGTTGCAGAAATGAGTCCCCAGAAGCCACCTTCTTTTGCAGATTTTATTTGTTCCTGAGGGTGGATGAAAGTAAAGAAATTCTGAGGCTACACCACCCCCTCTCCTCTGTTAGGTTCACTTTGAATCTTTCTTTTTTTTTTTTTTTTGTTTTGAGACAGGGTCTCACTATGTAGTTAAGACTGACCTGGAACTCACTATGTAGCCCAGGCTGGTCTCGAACTCACGGCGATCCTCCTGCCTCAGCCTCCCAAGTGCTGGGATTACAGGCTTGTGCCACCACACCTGGCCTCACTTTGAATCTTGAAGCAGAAAGCTCCACTGGGAATAAATTTTAGAATTTAACGAAGGGTATGATGGAGAGACTGAGGTAGAAGGATCGCCAGGGGTTCAAGGCCAGCCCAGGCTTCGTAGTGAGTACAAGGCCAGTGTGAACAACATAGAGAGAACTTGTCTCAAAAAGAACAAAACAAAACAGAAAAAAGAAAAATGACTATGGCGGTCTCTTCTTCAAGTTTCAATGAGATGGAATGTGTCTTTAACAGGGGATGGATATCTTAGAGTTTTAAACCTGGACTTCCCTGAATAGAGATGACGGTAAGAGGGTGGCACTTCATTGTTCTGTCATACTGAATGGCTGATTTAACTCTGGGTGACTGTGACGCTCGGGTCCTTGCTGGTCGTGTGGGAATAACCATGCATTATTTTAAAAGTCAGCTCAGCAGGGGTAGGGCCACGTGACATCACGGCACCCCAGGCGTGGGACCAAGAGGGGAACACATTGCCCATTTCCACCAAATCAGCCAGGAGGTGCCGATCGCACAAACCAATCTGGGGACATTTTGCAAAACAGCCACGTTGGGCCTTTGGAGACCGTTCACGTTCTGGGGGGCCAGGATGGCTGAGGCGCTCAGAGAAAAAGTGTGAAGAGGGCAGGGGCAGGGGCCCATGCAGTGTGTGAGGCGGTGGGACCAGCTAAGGGGGAAGCCGTGAATGACATCATTGGGAGCCCCAGATGTGACGCAGGCTCAGGAACAAGGGCCTTTCCAGGGAGGCTGCAGTGCCGCAGTGGGTGGGGGATTGTCCTGCTCTCAGAGGACAAATCCATCTGTTTACGTCCCCTGGGAGGAAGCAGGTGCAATAGACGTTTGGCAAAATGACCTTTCCAAAAAGCAGGGCACGGGGGGGGGCAGGATGGCAAAGTACTCACCGAGTTTAACAACCATGCCTCAGAGTTGAGAATCTGATCTCTACCAACACTAAAACCAAAGCAGTGAGTGATAGGTCGTGTTGTGGCTCGGTGGTGAGCGCGCGCCTGGCAAACATGAGGCCCTGGGTTCCATCACCAGTGCTGAAAAGACAAGGGGAGGTCTGGAGAAGGACTTTGGAGTTGACACTGGGACCCCCAGACAGCAACCCAGGCTTCATTGAAAACGCAGACCCAGCTAGAGATCCTTCGTGCTACAAACGTGGCAACACCTTTTTATTTAGAGTAAGATGTGTTCACATCCAGCATGACAAAGTTTGTACAAAGTTCACAATTTAAAAATGAAGTATCACAGCAACTTGTGATTCCACACATTTATAGCAAAATTAAAGTGTCAACAAACCCATGCCGTGTAGTACAAAAATAAATCAAACTTCAGTTCCACAGAGAGCACAATAAATAGTTTATACAAAATTCTGTCTTAATAAATGATTACTTAAATGAACTTAGAAATGAATATGAACAATAAGTTATAATAAATAAGCTCTGATGAGTCACAATAACTCCATATGAAAGGTCAGCATTCTAACATGTGACACTTTTGTGATCCCTAATAGTCACAGATAACTTCTGATTTGATATTATGTACCAACGTTACATGAGCAGCAAATTTGTGCTTAGAATCCCTTTCCATTGTACATGGGTGATAACAATAAGAATCCAAACTGATACTACCTATTACTCTACTAAAAGCATTACTACATTGGCCAGGAGGCTGCAGACAAGACGCGGTGGGGAGATGCATATGCCGCTATGGACAGGGGCCGGCCGAGGCGAGGCGAGCGCCCGGGACCATGTGTATGGCAACAGGTGGCGGTAAGCACCTTGCTTCAGCTTTCAAAAAGGCAATTCTGAGCGTGGCAGCTACAACTAATCGCGCAACAGAAAGGGGTGCTGTAAGAGACTGTACTGCAGAGCCCCAAAGTAATTACATCGTCTTTTTTTTTTTTTTTCTTCCCAGCTAGTTATTAAAGTCCTTGTGGAAAACTGTAAGCTTTTGTACAGTGAGCAGTATAAAGTGCCGCTGGGATTATACATGTATTTATACATATATATATATATATACCGAGGTTGAGTATTGTATCAGAATATTTGTAGTGAGATCCCTGTAGTCTCCCTTAGCAACCGTGCTGGGTCAGCCATGAGGGCCTCCTCTGTGATCAGTCCACCCAGGTTCAGGGCCACCAGGCCACTGACACAGGAATTGCACACCTCCGTACGGATATGTAGGACAAGGTAAGTGCAAATAGTCAACTGGCACATTGTGTGAACAATGACCCTGTAAGTCCTGTTCTGCTAAAAATATTTTTTTTTATTTTTACAAAACCCATCTTTTTTTTTTTTATTTCATAACAAAATTTTAAAGTACTTCTGTACTTCCTGCATAACATCAAGACATGGAAGGGAGAGATGCTACTAAAAGAAATCAAGTCAACATCAGGAAACACAACACATTTGGCAAAGGACTACTCAGAGGGCAAACGCAGCAATCAAAAGTGGTCTTATGCATACAGATAGTGCAGTCATTTGGAATAAAACAATCAAATCCTCAAGGTATAAACAAGTCTAAGATGATCTAGTTTAAAGCAAAAAAAGTGCCGAAGTATACTTAGTTACTTTTAAACTCTGATTGCATTCATTCTTAGAATAGGTCACAAAACCAAACAAGGCTATTCAAATGCTATTTGGTCAGCTGGACCCAGCGGAGGGTAGAACGTCGTTTTCAGAGAGCTCTGAATTGGTCCAAAGCTTATTCAAAGTCAGCTGGGGCGGGAGAGGAGAGGGGCTGTGTTTACTGAGTCGCTCTCCTACCCGGCCAGCAGAAAAATCCAGTCCAGCAACCAGAATACTCACAAGCCACTGGCCTTTTCCCCCTCGAATGTGAAATAACAACAGTAATAATGATCTTTGAAAAAAAAGGGTAAAGGGGAAATAAATGCTCTTAAATGATCTGTTCGCTCAAATTGGAAACACAACTTCTTTTAGGTGAACTACATTTCGGTAACAGTTCAGAGGGGCACGGGACTCTAGCAGAGATAAGAGAAGGTTGTTCCAAGGTTTACTGAAAATGCAAAGGAAATCTTCGTGTTGTTCACCTCTGACAAGCTCTGTCTTAACGGAAGTCTCCATAGTCACACCATGTAATGTTTAGGAGTTAATTTAAAAGTGCTGTTTAAGCTGCTTTGAATCTTCTGCCAAGTTTCCATGGCTTGATGTTGTCTTACAATAAATTACTTATTTCATTTCTTACAGTTAATCCATAAGCCATTTCCTTGGAATGCAAAAAACCTCATTTATTGCCCCCACCATACACCATCCTCCTAAAACAAACAAACAAAAAAAATCACATAATATTTCCAAGCATTGTTCAAAAATAAAGCATTTTTGCAACCAATTCTCGCTATGAAACAATATGCACGCAGAATGTATTTCTTAAATTCCATAAAGTCCTCTAACATGAGGCAAATGATAATGTCTACAAGTGGCCCGAAGGCCACCCCACGATCATTCAAAGCTGTTTTCTTTTCCTTTTAAAATCTTTTTCTTTTATGTCCATTTCAGTTCAAAATACTAAAACATTTAATCACTAAAGCATTAAAAAGAATTTACACTCTATTTATTTTGATCAGCTTACCTCTTCAGAAATATATATACCCCCAGATGTGCATACAGTAGCAGCTATAAACATTACATGGCATGGTCACACTATGTCGGCTCATATGAAAACATACAAAATGTGAATGTATTCAAAAAACTATTCTGCAGGTACTATTTTTAAAGCAAGACATAAAATCATTATGAAGTCTTGTAAGCATAACACTGTTCCAACAGAAATAAATATAGAACACTTTCTGGTAAATTACAGCAGCAAAAAGCAAGAGGCATCCTTTTTTAAGCATGATTTTCATCTCTAGAGCAGCTGTTCAGACCTGAATTCCTCTCACAGCCTGCTTTATATTTTCCAGTAGGGCTTTATTTTCTGGACTCTGATAACGGTCTTGATTTGTATACATTTCCGTCAAAGTAGTCACGTAAGCATCAAAATTTTGTTCATTGATTGGATCCTACGAGATATTAAATAGTAGTTCATATACAACTTTTATTTTCTTCATAGTATATTCACAAAAGCATCACACAGTATCACAGCACCCTGCCGTGTGGCCTAGTCAGACACTTAACTTTATGGGAGCAGCCCCTCTGATGTGTCTAGCGGTTAATGTTATGGTTTTGGGGTGGAACCCGAAAACATCCAAAGACCGGAAGAACCACGGGACAACGACACAAAGACACGTGTGTCATGACGTGAACGGTGGCGGCTCGGAGCCCCGGTGCTGCGCGCTCAGTCACTTACCATGTGGGGCAGCTGGATGTTGGCCAGGCTGTGGATCAGGGACTGGCTCAGGTTGGCCAGCTCCTGCAGGAGGGACTCGTTCTGCTGCTCGATGACCTTGTTCTCCTCCTCGATGGTCTTCAGGTTGCTCTCCATCGTGGTAATCTGAAAGGTACACGTTTGCGCCACATGTAACATGAGGTGGGGGCCAGGAGCGGGAGCAGGCGGGGGAACGCGGGGAGGGGACCTTTCTGCCTAGAATCAAAGGCTCAGGGCTGAGAATGTGGCAGTTTAAGGGTTGCTTTTTGTGTCTTGGCGGATCAAACATGGGGCCTTCACATTGAGCTCCATTTCTGGCCCATACTGATGAGCACTATTATTATTACCGTGTTTTCAATTTTGAGACAGGGTCTTGCTAAGTCACTAAGTTGCCCAGGCTGGGCTCAGACTTGCCATCCTCCTGCCTCAGCCTCCCACGGTGCTCGACTTATAGGCATGCGCCACCACACCCAGAGAGAGGCCTGGGCTGAGGGCAGCTGGACATCAGTGTCCCTTGGAGATGTTCCTTCCCTCAGGGAAGGGGGACGCTGACCCTCACCTCCAGCAGCAACACGTCCCCGCATAAATCTAGATTCTGAGGACCATCTAGTTCCTTGTGACAGAGGGAGGGGCTCTCCTAGGGAGCCAGTGAGGATTGGGGTCCTGTTTGTTTCACAGACTTCGCTGGTAATAATGTGTATTCGGCGTCAGGGGAGAGTCTGGCCTGATGGACCAGAATTCTGTCCAACTGATGGAGGGGGAAAGCAATGGATGCCGTGCTCTGGAGAGATGGTTCTCACAACATGCATATGCCGTCTGATTCAGCCAGCAGCACCTGTGCTCTTTCTCCCAACGCCCAAATACGTGGTTCTAGAAATGGAGAGGTTCTCACCTTCTGCAGAATTTCTGCTTTCTGTCTCAGGACTGTGGGACCAGGTCAGACCCTGCTTCTACACACCATCTCTCTCCAGATCCAGGCTATTGCCAGAAGGGTGTCTGGCAGGACCAGGAGCCGCTAGCAGTCAGGTCCAGCCCAGGGTGGGTTTAGAAAGGCCTGGGAGCTATCACTGGTTTTTGCTTTTTCTTTTCTCGGTACCGGGGATCAAATTCAGGACCTTGTGCTTGCAAGGCAGGTGCAGTGCCACTGAGCTACATCCCCGGCCCCTTTGCTTCTTTTAACGGCTAGAAAAAGCCAGAAGAATGATGCTTTGGGAAGATGCATTAAAGTCACATTGCAATGTGCTTTGCAGTGTGCTGGCTGTGTGTACGGAGACAGAGAAGAGGCGGCCAGGGTTGCACGGACCAGCGCCGAAACACGTGCCATCCGGTTCGGGGTCTGCACTGAGTGCCAGGAGGATGTGCTCTGGGACAAGTGTTCCCAGTGTGACAGATTTCAAAGATAGTGTGGATGCTGCTGCCGACGGAAAGGCAGGCTAGTAAAAATATGATGTTGTGGCCCCGTTCACCTTAGTCATTGGACCCAGCACAGTGTGACTTCCGGCGCGTCCCCCAAATCAAAATGATCATGAAAGGGAAACACTTGGAATCAATTAGGGACACGGAGGCAGCCAGAATAGTGCAGCTGAAGACCCCCAGGAGAGGACTCCAGAGCTGCCTCAGGAAGTGTCGAGGAGGCTGGGATGTGTATGTTCCAAGCAAGGGGGAGGATTTCGAGGGGGATTCATGGCCGTGTGTCTTTTATTGCAAGACATTTAAAAAATTTAAATATTCAGGATGCATCTTGAGAACATACTATTAAGCGAAATAAGTCAGACCCATGAGCTTAATTATTGTGCTCTTTCTGTTACATGAGAAACCCAAAGTATAACGAAATTAAAGGGCAAAATAGAAGAGATAATAGGAAATGGACATTTTTTGCAAAAGGGAAAGGGAGCAAGACATGGAGGTGGGGTGGGGAAGAGGGAGGGAACACGAAAAGAACAAAGATGGATCCATCCAAGCACCAGCTCCTCATGCTGAATGCGACCCTATGTACTGCAAACACGGACTCGTAAAAAGAAAAACTAAAAAAAACATGTGAACATTCACCATCTTTTCCAATCACACTGTTTAGCGCGTGATTGGAAGGAGACTGGGCTGCACAGAGCATCACGGCTTAAAGGAAAACGATCGAAGCCTGATGAGTGCGGCATAAATCCAGCCAGCCCGGGGCTCCCTGCCCTGCTAACCTCAGCAGAAACAAAGCCGCTGCAGGGACAAGGAGATGTTCTCACTGGTCCACCAGCCCCCGAGCCAGAAGCCAGGTAACTTCTCACTAGCAATCTGGCCTGAACTGCGGCTTCTTTTTCACATGCTAAGCCCTATTGCTCCTTTGTCCCCAATAACACTATGCAGGCCCTGATCCCAGGGCTGCTTCTCGGCCTCCACAGTGGCTCTGCGGGACCTGCCTCTGCTCTGCCCTGAACTGGCCCTCTCCTTCCTTTCTCCTGGCTGTGGAGTCCTGCCTCTCCCGGACCAGGGCTCACACCCCTCTCTCCTCTCTGCCCTCCTCCAGCCCCTCCTGCCTCCTTCCTGTTCCTTCGTGGGCACGTCTTTTCCTGGACACTGAGTTCCTGAGTGTCCCACGGGGCACTGCCCGTCTTTGGGGCCCTTTGCGTCAGTCACCATGACTGTTGTCTGTGGAAACTGAATTGAATGGGATGAGGTGTGTTGATGACATCATGGAATCCAGAATCCAGAATCCAGAATCCAGAATCTAGGCTTGGGTGCACCCAGCCAGGCTGCCTGATGCATCTGCTCTGAGTTGGATCCAGCTGAACTGGGCCGGGTGAGGGTGGCCTCCGGGGCCCCTTGGCCTCTGCTGCACAGCGGTAATGGGATGGGCATTCAGGATTTCTGACCTGAGCTTTTGCTGGGACATGGCCACAGGGACAGATCGCTTCATATTGAGCTATGGAGCATCATAAGAATGTCTACATTTCCAGGGACACAGATGTCATCTTGGTCGCACTGAGCTGACTCAACACACTGCTCGAGCACGCTGCAGCCTGGGGCACTTGTGGACTCTCACAAGGTGCTTTTCTCCTAAATCTGAGTTCTTACAACAGGATGCTGAAGGGAACTCACTTGGCCGTGTAGTGCAGCTCTCGGTTAGAGATGCGCTATGGTTTGAATACAGCCTTAGTAGCCCAAGCATTGTCTGGGTGGGGATTAAATCCCCATTGCATAGGTGATCAGGGTGGAAAGATTCCAGCCAGGGCTCGTGAGGTGGGGCCTTGGGGCAGTGATGAGGGTTTGATGTGCTTATGGGGTGGGGCCAGTGATCCAGTCCTGGCAAGAGGGAGAGGCCTGAAGTTTTACACACAGGCACACACACCCAGACTATCTGTCCATCCCTGCATGAAGTCCTGAGCATCCACGGGACTCCGCCAGCAAGAAGCTACCTCCAGATGCAGCCCCTCCGCCTCGCATCTCCAGGTCAGGGAGCTCTAATAATCCTCTTCTCTCTAGAACTCGCCTTGTCTGTGTTGTATTTTGGCCACAGTTCACAGACCGTTGCGGTGTGGACGGCCCCGCTGAGCACCTGCTGTAGGTGGCAGGAACGTCTCACCACGGGCAATGTCTGAAACTCAGGAATGCTGGTACAGAGCTCTGACCTCCGGCAGCCTCAGACCTGAGCCCTCAGTGGTGGAGCCCGAAGCTCTGGGCACAGAGTTGCTTCCTGTCTCCCACTTGCACGTCCCAGAACACCCTCTCCTGAGTGGCTGTCACCCTCCACCATCCCACTGTTGTTCACCCCCGTCCTCTGGCTGGATGCAATCGCTGTGTCACTGTGTGTGGCTCAAGTGTGTAAAGGAGTGACGGTGTGTCCTCAGGGTCTGGGCCGACAGACGCTCTGTGTGTGACAGCGACACCTACCTTGCAGGCTGCAGTGCCTACCCACAGGTGCTCAGAAAGCTCTTTCCCTCCTCTCCCCAACCTTCCAGGCCTCCTGGGCACCTCACACACAGGGCACATCGCAGCCGATGCCAGTGTAGATATAACACCACAGTCCCGAAACACGCAGGCCCACAGCATCTGGGGAGGAAGCCCCAGCTCTACAGGTACAGGAGGCCCTTGCGGAATGGCCTCTTGCTTAGGTATCTCATGAAATGCACACATACATGTGTACACACACACACACACACACACATGGAAAACAGCTGGCTCTGCACTGCATCACAGCAAGCACGGCCACTGAATGATTTCTACAGTGGACCAAGGTACCAGGTGAAGAAAATAAAGGGTCCAACAGTGGGACTGAGGAACACGACCCCGTTCCCTGATGTGGCTTCTCTGCCCGGCTCCTCTGTGTGACAGCGCATGTTAGCATGAGAATTAAGGGCTTCAAAAACTGTTACCTGAGTTCTGAGTTTAATCATGTCCGCCTCCATCTGGGAATTGGATTCATTGAGCTCTTTGATTTCTTCATCTAACTGCTTGATTTCTTCATCATTTTCTATACCTGTGGTGGCAAAATTAACACGTTAAAACCATGACACCAGGAGATTTTAGGGTTAGAATGTTGAGATTCCTCTTTTGCTCTTTTCAGAATTAGACTTAATGCTCGGGAAATATCTCTCGGATTAAGACAACAGTATCACAGAGTGTGTGTGTTTCTAGTCCCCTTAGCGTTGCCTCCCCCCACAACCTAGGCGTCTAAAAACAAGAAAGAAAAATATAAATTCAACTAAAGCTACAAGAAAACCTCCTGGGGCTGGACCTCAGGTGTGGCTTGTGAATGAAAAAGAAGTTGCACCCTAAATAGGGATCCTTAGTGCGGAAAACCCCCATCTGTAAGGCAGCCAGTGCCCCACCTGCCAGCTGAGTCCTCTGACCAGGGGGCAGAGGCTGGGTGCTGAGACCCTGCCAGGCAGTGGCCCTGATGCCAGTGGCACCTCCTCTGGGACCTCAGATATTCCTTTCCATGCTCTCTTCTTTCTGAACTGGGCCTTCATCAACTGCCACTTCCTTCTCTAATGAGGAGCAGATGGACACAGACTCGGGCCAAGCGGCCAAGGGTTCCCACTGTAGCTCGAGGTGTGTTTGTGGGTGAGATGCTGGATTAGGTGTCTTGCTCAGTGCCTGGAATGGGGTCAGAGACCCATGTGTGTCCCTCCCCCGCCACCCCAGGGTCTCTCTATTTAGCACAGGCTGGCTTTGAGCTCTTGGCCCACCTCCTGCCTCGGCCTCCCTAGTGCTAGGAAGACAGTGTGCAGCACCACCCCCAGCTAGGAGGACACATTTTTTAGGACTCTCCCAAACTCGAATGATTGAGCACTGAGCCATCTCACCTAGGGGCTGCTGCCCCTGGCACCTTGTGTAACTGGTCCATCAGTAAACACCTTGTTTTGTGTCTCTGGGTAAGGGCAGTGTGGTCAGTACCAACTGTTCATGAGCAGCGTGGAACTGACTCAAGGTGGAACTGAGCCATTCTAGACAGGTTGAAGCCAAGTGCTCTTAGGAACCTGGATGGGCCTGCTGCTCCTTCTCTGGGGCGGTGACACCACAAAATCACCAACGAAAACCCCAGTGTAAGCTAGGCGTGGTGGTGCATGCCCATCATCTCAGTACTCAGGAAGCTGAGGCAGAAGGATCATTGCAAGTTTGAGGCCAGCCTGGGCTACACAGTGGGATCATGGCCAGCCTCAACTGCATAGGGAGACCCTGTCTCAAAAAAAAAAAAAAAAAAAGCCAATGCAACAGACATGAAGAACCCCAGGAGAGTCTGAGCACACTGTGTCCCAGAGGCCTGAAGGCGGGCCGTGGGGGCTTCTGGGCCCAGGGGTGCATGGGGCACTGCCCCTGCCCATGCCACCTCTTGAGCCTCAGTTTCCTGTATATGCACAAAAGCAGGTAAGAAGCCACACAGACTCAGAAGTGGTGGGCAAGAAACGTGGGCACTGGGCATGCTGAGCAAAGCAGAGGGGACAGGCAGGGCTGCTGTCCTTGCTGTCTGGTCCCCAGTGCCCTGGAACCACAGCTGGGGGTAGAGCAGGACAGTGGGCATCGTGGATGCTGGGGACAGGGTGGCGGGTGGGGCTGGAAGTTCCCCTCTTCCCCTTGTCTAAAACTTGGGCTGTGCCAACCAAGCAGGGAGAGGGAGGTGGCCATGGCGATGGTCACCTCCCCTGGCAGGTGTGGGTGGACGCGGTTACCATTGCTGGCTCTCTGTTTGATGGTCAGCATCTGCTCCCCAGACAGCTTTGCCTTCTTCATGGCCGACGTGGCTCGTGGGCACCCTGACAGGCTGGGGACAGATAAAGATGGCGTTAGTCACAGGGCACAGGGTCCCCACCTGCCAAGGGAGGGAGAGCCATTGTGCAGCACACTGGGCCGGGCCTGAGGCCAAACACAGGTCTCTGCAAACGTGGGAAGCAGAAAAGACCTATGCATGCAGGGTGGTGTGTGTGTGCACGCGTGTGTGTGTGTGTGTGTGTGTGTGTGTGTGCACGCTTGTTGTGGGCCCTCTGCAGTGCCACCTCTGAGACCAACACACACTTGTCCCTCACGCTGTACCTTCCAGCACTGTCAGGAACATTTGCAAAGCGACTAAATTGCTTAAAGCACTTTTTAATGGAAAGCATCAGATTACACAAAAGGTTGAACTTGGAACTGGATCTGCAACAGAAAAAGTAGACAGAGCAGGGCTGCAAGTCTCCACCAGGTTTTGTCACCACAGCCCTGGCCAACCTGGCTTGTCTCCCTCCCTCTGCCCAGGTGGGTCCTCCATGAGAAAGCCCAGGTGTAAGAGCCACCACGCTGTCAGCTGCAGTTTTTATTTTGTTTTGTTTTTACAGCACTGGGGATTGAACTCATGGCCTTCGAACTGAGCTGCACCTCCAGCCCATTTTATTTTATTTTTTTTGCAGAGTCTCACTAAATCAGTAGGGTGCCCAGAATGGACTCAAACTTGCAATCCTCCTGCCTCAGCCTCCCAGCTTGCTGGGATTACAGGCCTGTGGCACCATGCTTGGCTAAGGTACTTATTCCTTTGTCCTTCTCTGCACAGCTTCCAACTTCCCGGGCCTCTTTCAGGACCTGCAGATTCTCTTGGCTCACAGCGTCAGAATGGGCAGTGACTGGAGTGTTCGAGTTTCACGAGGATGCTCAGGGCCAGAGGAGCCGCCCAGCTTCCTGGCAGAATGGTAGCCCCGTAGGACACTTATTATTTGGCTTTTTCCTTTAAAAGAGAAGAACTGAGGATGGGCAATGGTCCCAGGGTAGACACCTGCATCCTCCTCCATCGCCTCTGCCCTCAGGTTACTCTGCAGCCCGGGGTTCTGCTGCACACAAGAAGCCTGGCTCAGTGCAGGCTCCCAGCACCTGAGGGAAGGACGGATTCTGGGCACCAGCACCACTCCCAGAGACTCCTTTTGCTTCCCCTTTAGGTCCTGGGGAAGCCAGGGAGGAGAGGCGAGGCGCTGTGCAGAGCCAGCACACTGTGAATGCAGCAGCCAGCTCAGCAGGGTGGGAGCCACACTGGGAGGCGGTGCTGGGTGGGGGACACTGCTCCCTCTGCTCCCAGAGTAGCACCCTGGGTTAGTTACCAGAGTGGGCAGTCAGAGCAGCAGAATGATGGATAGGGGATAAAAGATACCAGGTAGCCACCTAATCAAGCAGTCGGCGAAGCCTAACAAAGTAAGAATGTAAAAGTGTAGGAAACCTCACAAGAACAAGGATAAACAGCGGGAATGGGAACAGAGAGAGGTAAGGACACTTCCCTCTGGAAAGAAGATTCTAACAACTCCTCCTAGCTCCTGACCAGATTTCAACTGGACTTCTGGAAGCAGAAATGCAAGATAACCAGTTTTTTTTTTTTATGCTTTTGAACTTATTTCCTTTAGAACAGGCCCCCTTCCCATGGCCTGCTTATACATACAAAAACAGGACAGCGACCAGAGGATAGATTTTTCTGCTCAGAATCCCCTCTCAAAAGACATTATGAGCGTTTTCCTCTCATTATTTCCAATAAAATTCATACCTTCCTTCTTTGGTTCGCAATTTTATTTTTGTGTCCTCCATGGAACCATGAGCTCAGTTTGTACAAAATACAAACTCTCATGGCTGCTTTTTCCAGAGTGGCTGAGTGAGTGCTGGGTGGGAGCTCTGTGTGTAGGGCCTGGGCACCACCCTCTGTCCCGTGCAGGCCAGATTCCTCTAGGCCTGAGGTCCTGCACCTACAGAGACAGGTAGACCAGATGGCCCTGAGGGATACCACCACGCGCCTTGCCCAGCTGGCCAAGGTACTCCTGTGCCTCATGGCCCTGATGATGCTGGCCTGCTGAGGAGCAGCTTCCAGAGCTGTCCCTGAGGAAAAGGCCGTGTCAACAGTGATCGGGAGATGCTTCTTATAGGCTCACTCCCTTGATTCCTAAAAAATCCCCAAAGAAGGGGATTTAAATGAACCATCATCCCTATCTTCTCCTCACCTGGAATCCTACTTCCTTGAGAATAGATGTACGTACTTCACAGGGCACAGGGATAGGTAGCAGGAAAGAGCGCTTGAAGAAAGGGGACTCCTACTAATCAGGAGTGGTGGTGCATGCCTGTAATGCAACTCTGGGAGGCTGAGGCAATCGGGTGCCAAGTCTGAGCCGAGCCTGGGCGATTTAACAACTTAATGAGATTCCATCTCAAAACAAAAAAACACAACGGGCTGAGATGGAGCTCAGGGTGAAGGAAGGGTGCTAAGCATTCTGAGGGGATGAGGTCGTGGCTCCAAACGACCTGGAAGCCATAAGCTCAGCCCCCATGGAGGCCAAGTCTGGGTTCTTGGCTTTCAGATCCCAAATCAGCTGAAGGGGAGACGATGAGGGCATTGGTGAGGACTGTGAGGCTGGGGCCAGAGTCCAGAAAACTAAATTAGGAAGCAAAGGGAGGCCGGAGTGTGGTGCCTCCCGCGCCCTCTTCCATTCCGATCCCCTGAGAACATCACCGTGAGGATCAAATTTGGAAGTCAATCCCGAGCGCCTGGCTCAGGCCCGGGGTGTGGCGGGGCTCCCATGGCCACGCTGCCATCTGGCAGTGGGCCAGCTGGCTCCACTTTGCCCAGGGTCTGGGGGCATCTGCGAACCCATCCCTGCCAGGGAGGGAAAGTCCAGGCAGGTCGGAGCCGGTATGGCTGAGCTCCCCATGAAGGACACCCAAACTCTTCTCTCCCAGAGCAGCGAGGCCAGGGTTTGGAGCTGGGCTCTGGGGTCTCCCTCCAGGCTCTAGGCAGCAAGTGGTTAAGGAGGCTCCGGGCTGGCCAGACATCTGGCACCGGCGCCAGGGAGAGCTCAACTGCTGCTCCAGTTTGGACTGCGGGAGAAGGAAGCCTAGGCCCCGGCTTTGTCAGGACGTCAGCCCAGCGGCTTTTCCTGGAGAGCATGGAGCTGCAGATTTCTAAACAAAGGAAGTGTCCAGCGGCATGTGGTTCATAGGGCAGGGCTGGGGCTGCTCACTGAAAAAGACAATGAGGGAACTGAGCTGCACAGGCCAAGGTGACAGAAGACAGGAGAACCCAGGGCCAAGGTGGGAGGACCAGGCAGACCTGGGAAGCCATGATCCTGTCTGGGCCCCAAGGAGAAAGTGGACATGGGGTGCCACACAACCACCTAGACCTGCCCCGTGGCCTGGCCTTCCTGGGGAGCAGTGCCACGCCAGGAGCTTTGTTCTCACAGACAAATGTGCCACTCTGAGCTCAGGGACACAGCCACATGCAGGGCTCTGCTCTCCACCTGTGTCCAGCGCTTGCCCAGGAGGTCACTTCGGAGCCCCTGCCACTTGGCAGGTGACTGTCACACTACCGAGAGCTCAGTGTGCAGGTGTGAGGGGGCCAGCGTGCAGAGCCCACCCCAGGCCTGTGTCCTCATGCTTCCTCCATGGCCTGTGTCCACTCTAGTTTCCGATGACTCCAGGTGGGGTCAGACACAGAAGGAGGGGCTCCCTCCTTAAAGGAAAGCAGTGGAAAATCTGGCAGGTGTTTGCTGGAGTATTGGGCTGGAGGGAGGAGAACCAGGAGGGCAGGAGGGACAGGAGCAGAACATCTGGAGGCTTGGATTTGGGAGGGTGGGGCCAGAGTGAGGTGCAGTTGCAGCGTTTCCAGTTTCTGGCTGCTGATGAGAACACGGCCAGCGTTCCTTTACTCTGCCTTCCTGTCCATCTCTCTCCCGGCCTGGAGGGAGACCGCAGGTACCAAATTCCAGAATTTTTTTTGGTACTGGGGATGGAACTCAGGCCCTTGCGCTTGCGAGGCAGGCGGCAGAACCACTGAGCTAAATCCCCGGCCTCCAAGTGCCCCAGATTCCAAGTTTTGTGGTGATGAACTTGGGCTGGGCTGTCCGCGGGAGCTGTGTACGCCACCTCCGGAGGCTGAATGCTCAGCCCAGCCGGGTGGGGAAGGTGTTTTGTGCAGTGATTTCATTTCCAGTCAGTGGAGGAGATGAGCATGCAGGTGGGCCTGGCCTGATCTCTCAAATGGCCTTGAAAAGAGGCCAGTGTTTCCTGGGAGCTGCGGCCACTGTGGACAGGGCTGCTGGCCCGAGTCTGCATCCTGGGAAGGCGCCGTCCTGCTCCAGGCTGGAGCCCCTGCCAGGCCTCTCCGTGGGCTCTCACGGGTTCTGCCTGGAGGGCTCCTTATTTTCTTCTTTCTTTGGTAGTTTTCCTTCCCTCCTTCTCCATTTCTCTTAATTTCCTCAGAAACTCTTAGGAGCTGGTTATTATCCCTCTGGAATTGCTCATCTTTTGTGTTTAGAGACATATTTTATCCTTTTCACTGCTCTTTACAATGCATTGAAGACTTCTGTAGTTTGATCGTTTAACTCTCTAAATGACTTTTCAATTTATTTTTATTTATATTTCATTTATTTGAGGCAGGGTCTCACTATGTAACCAGGCTGGTTTCGAACTTGCAGTGATCCTTCTATCTCAGCCTCCTGAGTACTGGGGTTCCAGGCGTGCGCCACCACATTCAGCTCTCCATTTTATTTTATTTTATTTTTGGTACTGGGGATCGAACTGTGGACCCTGTGCTTTCGAGGAAGGCAGCAGAACAGCTCTCTCCATTAAACAAACAAACAAACAATTAGGAACACAATTACTTTTAATATGCTCTCTATTCTCTCTCTCTCTCTTTTTTGGGGGCTCATGACAATTTGTAGGTTTTAAAAGAGATTCTTTGCTTTTCCAGATGTCCGCCCCACGGCTGTCAGATACTTCCAGGGCCCCAGGGACAGGGGAGTGACAGGCAGATGGGAAAGTGCTTCA